TAAGATAAACATCGGATAGTATTCTCTATTTTCTGTCAAGATTCCAATTTGAAAGTTTTAACCATCAATAACCGAGATATCTTCATTTCCAGTTTTCCGGGTTTTCGGTCTTAAAACATATATTAAACCAAAATTACCCAAATATAATATTGATAACTAAAGGACTTCACAAATAAAACATAAAATAGTATGTTCTTTTTCTATATAGATCAAATTTCAAAAATATTAACCATTAACAACGGAGATTTTCTACGTTTCCAGTTTTCAGCGTTTTTTCACTAAATATCACTCATTTCACCTCAAAATTACTTAAATATGAATAATAATAACTAGAGGACTACATAATACTCTATTAAGATAAGGTTTCCTGTCTTCAACAAGCTTTAGGTCTAAAAATGTAACCATAAATAACATTTTTTCTTCTTTTCCAGTTTTCAGCATTTTTTCTCTAAAAACCACACATTTCACCCCAAAATAACCTTTTCCGCAAATTATATCAATGTATAGTTTTAGTATGTTGTTAGTACAAGTCTATATTATAATTTGCACTAAAAAAACCTTGTGTTGCAATTAGTTGCAGGTTGGGCGATTTTAGAGCTAAATTGGCTAGGCTATAATGTAGAAACAAGATTTTACACTTTGACTTGGCACCTTTCTTTAAATCAGTTTTTGTCGCATTTCAGTGTCAACTGCTAACCTTCATAAAATATTCATTACTCAACCAATTTTGAAAAATTAAAAGGCCATTTTACTCGTTTTAGCTAGCAGAACACAGAAAAATAGTTAAAAGGGAGAATTTAAAAAAAAAGATTTACTATTAAGGTAGCAATACACAGTTAGGAGTATGGTTTCGCATTTTGGCCCCCGGTGGATTTTTCATATATGAAAGTTATTGTGTAATAAAATTCATTTTTAGACAGCTGAGTACTAATTTAGCCTTCAAAGGTGGTTTATAAGAACATCAGAATTATTTTTTACATGTTTTATGGGCTATTTCCTGTTTGACTCTACGTATTTTCATAGCTAGACCGGTCATCGGTCCAGAAATTAATGTAATGTTTACAAACACTTTTTTTCTACATGAAGTTTTTGACGCAATTTTACAAAAAAATGAGACGAGAGACATATGATTTTCATTGGATTTATTGAAAGATATATGTAAACAGTTTCAGAAAAGGTATTACTTGAAGTGATTGAAATTCTTCTTTTGGTCAAATTTTGGGGAAATATGTCACATCTTTTCCCCCCTTTTTGCTTTATTTTGTAACAAAAAAATGCAGATTGTTGCCATGAATACACCAAAAAGAAATTATATTTTACTATTTTATATACTGGATATGAAATCTATGGAATATTCTGATTACATACATATGCACATATATGACACAAACAGTAAGCTTAATATTGCAAGAAGGCAATGAAAAGGGGATGGTAAAATTTATGAGGGAAAATTTAAATATTTTTTCCTAACTGTTTATTGCTACCTTATGGCATACTTACCAAGCTCAGAATTGTATAATTTAAGACTTTTCATACCTCAGATCTATTGATATTTAGATTCTAAATCAACTTCTGAAGGGATTAAGTGTTTAAGAATGACAATACATGTCAATTTTATTGTTTACAGTCCTTAGCAACCAAAATTAGAAATTTTGACACAAGGCTTATAATTGTACTCTATTTGCTTAACCCTTGCTTCTGAAGGATTGCGGAGTATGTAGTAGCCTCCGTATTAATTGTTTTGTATTTTTTCTTGCGAATATATCAAATTATTATTTTTATCAAGATTTCATGTTACATTTTGACATATATTAAATGTATAGTTGATTCAGCTGTAAGAAATTGATTCCCCATTACCAAGTTTTTTAATCAAGTCTTTGGTATACATTAAACATAAAGATTAACATTTTCATGCTTGAAATTGTTAAATTTTGTACAATTTTGCATCATCAGAGGTCTTATAAAGATTTTCAACATTAAAAAACTGACAAAAGAGGTATAGTTTTTAAGATTTTGCCAAAAATTGAGGTAGAAACAAGATTTTACACTTTGACTTGGCACCTTTCTTTAAATCAGTTTTTGTCCCATTTCAGTGTCAACTTCTAACCTTCATAAAATATTCATTGCTCAACCAATTTTGAAAAATTAAAAGGCCATTTTACTCGTTTTAGCTAGCAGAACACAGAAAAATAGTTAAAAGGGAGAATTTAAAAAAAAAGATTTACTATTAAGGCATACTTACCAAGCTCAGAATTGTATAATTTAAGACTTTTCATACCTCAGATCTATTGATATTTAGATTCTAAATCAACTTCTGAAGGGATTAAGTGTTTAAGAATGACAATACATGTCAATTTTATTGTTTACAGTCCTTAGCAACCAAAATTAGACATTTTGACACAAGGCTTATAATTGTACTCTATTTGCTTAACCCTTGCTTCTGAAGGATTGCGGAGTATGTAGTAGCCTAAGTATTGAATGTTTTGTATTTTTTCTTGCGAATATATCAAATTATTATTTTTATCAAGATTTCATGTTACATTTTGACATATATTAAATGTATAGTTGATTCAGCTGTAAGAAATTGATTCCCCATTACCAAGTTTTTTAATCAAGTCTTTGGTATACATTAAACATAAAGATTAACATTTTCATGCTTGAAATTGTTAAATTTTGTACAATTTTGCATCATCAGAGGTCTTATAAAGATTTTCAACATTAAAAAACTGACAAAAGAGGTATAGTTTTTAAGATTTTGCCAAAAATTGAGGTAGAAACAAGATTTTACACTTTGACTTGGCACCTTTCTTTAAATCAGTTTTTGTCGCATTTCAGTGTCAACTGCTAACCTTCATAAAATATTCATTGCTCAACCAATTTTGAAAAATTAAAAGGCCATTTTACTCGTTTTAGCTAGCAGAACACAGAAAATTAGTTAAAAGGGAGAATTTGAAAAAAATATTTACTATTAAGGCATACTTACCAAGCTCAGAATTGTATAATTTAAGACTTTTCATACCTCAAATCTATTGATATTTAGATTCTAAATCAACTTATGAAGGGATTAGGTGTTTAAGAATGACAATACATGTCAATTTTATTGTTTACAGTCCTTAGCAACCAAAATTAGACATTTTGACACAAGGCTTATAATTGTACTCTATTTGCTTAACCCTTGCTTCTGAAGGATTGCGGAGTATGTAGTAGCCTAAGTATTGAATGTTTTGTATTTTTTCTTGCGAATATATCAAATTATTATTTTTATCAAGATTTCATGTTACATTTTGACATATATTAAATGTATAGTTGATTCAGCTGTAAGAAATTGATTCCCCATTACCAAGTTTTTTAATCAAGTCTTTGGTATACATTAAACATAAAGATTAACATTTTCATGCTTGAAATTGTTAAATTTTGTACAATTTTGCATCATCAGAGGTCTTATAAAGATTTTCAACATTAAAAAACTGACAAAAGAGGTATAGTTTTTAAGATTTTGCCAAAAATTGAGGTAGAAACAAGATTTTACACTTTGACTTGGCACCTTTCTTTAAATCAGTTTTTGTCGCATTACAGTGTCAACTTCTAACCTTCATAAAATATTCATTGCTCAACCAATTTTGAAAAATTAAAAGGCCATTTTACTCGTTTTAGCTAGCAGAACACAGAAAATTAGTTAAAAGGGAGAATTTGTGAAAAATATTTACTATTAAGGCATACTTACCAAGCTCAGAATTGTATAATTTAAGACTTTTCATACCTCAAATCTATTGATATTTAGATTCTAAATCAACTTATGAAGGGATTAGGTGTTTAAGAATGACAATACACTATAATACATGTCAATTTTATTGTTTACAGTCCTTAGCAACCAAAATTAGACATTTTGACACAAGGCTTATAATTGTACTCTATTTGCTTAACCCTTGCTTCTGAAGGATTGCGGAGTATGTAGTAGCCTCTGTATTAATTGTTTTGTATTTTTTCTTGCGAATATATCAAATTATTATTTTTATCAAGATTTCATGTTACATTTTGACATATATTAAATGTATAGTTGATTCAGCTGTAAGAAATTGATTCCCCATTACCAAGTTTTTTAATCAAGTCTTTGGTATACATTAAACATAAAGATTAACATTTTCATGCTTGAAATTGTTAAATTTTGTACAATTTTGCATCATCAGAGGTCTTATAAAGATTTTCAACATTAAAAAACTGACAAAAGAGGTATAGTTTAAGATTTTGCCAAAAATTGAGGTAGAAACAAGATTTTACACTTTGACTTGGCACCTTTCTTTAAATCAGTTTTTGTCGCATTTCAGTGTCAACTGCTAACCTTCATAAAATATTCATTACTCAACCAATTTTGAAAAATTAAAAGGCCATTTTACTCATTTTAGCTAGCAGAACACAGAAAAATAGTTAAAAGGGAGAATTTAAAAAAAAAGATTTACTATTAAGGCATACTTACCAAGCTCAGAATTGTATAATTTAAGACTTTTCATACCTCAGATCTATTGATATTTAGATTCTAAATCAACTTCTGAAGGGATTAAGTGTTTAAGAATGACAATACATGTCAATTTTATTGTTTACAGTCCTTAGCAACCAAAATTAGACATTTTGACACAAGGCTTATAATTGTACTCTATTTGCTTAACCCTTGCTTCTGAAGGATTGCGGAGTATGTAGTAGCCTAAATATTGAATGTTTTGTATTTTTTCTTGCGAATATATCAAATTATTATTTTTATCAAGATTTCATGTTACATTTTGACATATATTAAATGTATAGTTGATTCAGCTGTAAGAAATTGATTCCCCATTACCAAGTTTTTTAATCAAGTCTTTGGTATACATTAAACATAAAGATTAACATTTTCATGCTTGAAATTGTTAAATTTTGTACAATTTTGCATCATCAGAGGTCTTATAAAGATTTTCAACATTAAAAAACTGACAAAAGAGGTATAGTTTAAGATTTTGCCAAAAATTGAGGTAGAAACAAGATTTTACACTTTGACTTGGCACCTTTCTTTAAATCAGTTTTTGTCGCATTTCAGTGTCAACTGCTAACCTTCATAAAATATTCATTACTCAACCAATTTTGAAAAATTAAAAGGCCATTTTACTCGTTTTAGCTAGCAGAACACAGAAAAATAGTTAAAAGGGAGAATTTAAAAAAAAAGATTTACTATTAAGGTAGCAATACACAGTTAGGAGTTTGGTTTCGCATTTTGGCCCCGGTGGATTTTTCATATATGAAAGTTATTGTGTAATAAAATTCATTATTAGACAGCTGAGTACTAATTTAGCCTTCAAAGGTGGTTTATAAGAACATCAGAATTATTTTTTACATGTTTTATGGGCTATTTTCTGTTTGACTCTCCGTATTTTCATAGCTAGACCGGTCATCGGTCCAGAAATTAATGTAATGTTTACAAACACTTTTTTTCTACATGAATTTTTTGACGCAATTTTACAAAAAAATGAGACGAAAGACATATGATTTTCATTGGATTTATTGAAAGATATATGTAAACAGTTTCAGAAAAGGTATTACTTGAAGTGATTGAAATTCTACTTTTGGTCAAATTTTGGGGAAATATGTCACATCTTTTCCCCCTTTTTGCTTTATTTTATAACAAAAAAATGCAGATTGTTGCCATGGATACACCAAAAAGAAATTATATTTTACTATTTTATATACTTGATATGAAATCTATGGAAGATTCTGATTACATACATATGCACATATATGACACAAACAGTAAGCTTAATATTGCAAGAAGGCAATGAAAAGGGGATGGGAAAATTTATGAGGGAAAATTTTAATATGTTTTCGTAACTGTTTATTGCTACCTTAGTCCTGGTTTACTTTTTAATCAAATGCGGGACAAGCACGAGAAAATAAGAGTACCGACACGAAACACGGAAAATAATTAAGGGAAAACACGAAGCACGCACATCGAACCAAACACGAGAAAACGAGAAATAAAACGTTGAAACACGGAAACACGTGAAATAAAAAGGCCGAAAACGTTGCACGAAATAACCCTTTACCACCCTCTAAATAGGCCATACTAGATGTCGACACCTCATATTAGAACTTAAGTAGATGGTCAATTTCGTTTGCAAGGTTAAAGAAATCTTCAACTTGCTCTGATTTGCCTGTGAAGACCATAAAACTGTCATCCCTATTGATAGTGTAATTTGATGTTTTCTTTCCATTGGAACTTATCTAAGATTTTAATGAGTACAAATTAATAAGCCTGGTTGGTACGCTCCTATAATGTGTTTGTATAACAGTCCATTAAACTCAAATTCATTGTTTCTAAGAATTAATTTAACAAATGCAGTTAAATCTATTTTGTTGAAAATCTTTAAAGTATATTCTCCTGTGTGTCAATAAATTCTAATGCATTGATAACAATTTCTTCTAAATTGTCAATGATCATATTTGTCTACATTGACGTACATCATAGGCAATAAGAATGCATACTTTTTTTTACTCGTGTGACTCTATTTTATTAATGATTTTTTTTGTATTTTAAAAGTAAAAGTTATGCCTCTTCAATAATTGGATGTTGGATGTGTACTAATTGATAATTTAGTCTTAGATGCATGATTTTTTTAATTAGTTGTTAGTGGCTTTGAACTAGCTGTCAGTAACTGCAAGTACTCTCAGATCTGTGCTTAGTGTCTATTTGTTGTTGGGATATACAAGTACCCGGCCACGTCCACTCTGTGTAGTATTTCTGTTTGTATCCATCTGATGAGTTAAGCATTTTTCAACTGATTTTTATAGTTCGTTCTTATGTTGTACTGTTACACCACTGTCCCAGGTTAGGGGGAAGGTTGGGATCCCGCTAACATGTTTAACCCCGCCACATTCTGTATGTATGTGCCTGTCCCAAGTCAGGAGCCTGCAATTCAGTGGTTGTCGTTTGTTGATGTGTTACATATTTGTTTTTCGTTCATTTTTGGTACATAAATTAGGCCGCTAGTTTTCTCGTTTGAATTGTTTTACATTTGTCATTTCGGGGCCTTTTATAGCTGACTATGCGGTATGGGCTTTGCTCATTGTTGAAGGCAGTACGGTGACCTATAGTTGTTAATTTCTGTGTCATTTGGTCTCTTGTGGAGAGTTGTCTCATTGGCAATCATACCACATCTTCTTTTTTATATTTATAATTAGATCAAGTAAGTATCTCTCGCGGGAGAGTTACACTTATTGATGATTGGTCGGTAACGAACATTAATGTGTCCTGCTAGCTGACCAGTTCGCAATGCCTCATTACTTATTTCTAGATTAATTTAATGAATTTTTGGAAGAAGGTACATGTGTCCTCCATGTTTTGAATTATTATTATTCATTAAAAAATTATACGTCTTGGAATCTTTTTTTTCTCTCCTTGCTTTAAATTTAACACTTCTCTCAACATGCCAAAATTGTAATGATTTATAATAAAAAGAAAATATTATCCTCCACACACATGGCCAAGATAACACTGATATATAATTTCTTATACAGTTGAATTAATAATTAGAATTAAAAAGTTCCAAGGTTCACGTATTGTCTTTTTATTTTTTAAAAGCAACTTGTTTTATTTTCATTTTATATCATCCATTTCATGTTAATCACCGATATACATACATATTATATACATTAAAGCTAACACTTACCGTATTTCTATCGTTTTACAATCAAAATTCAGATTCTGTTCACACCTGAAATCATCTAACGTTTGGACTTAAAATATTTTAATTTAATATTATTACAAACACGTTTAATCTTTCTATAATGCCTGCACTCTCAATTAAATTGATAAACAGGATATGTTTGGTTGAAATCAATATCTAAATTAATTTTAAGAATTTAATGTGATTTACGACCATACGGAACAGGCAAATATACACCTACATGAAACAGTATATTAATGTTTCGGACCCGAGTATTTGGACCATACGCGTTTATTCATATGATTCGGAATTATATATAATGGTTCACGCAATTTTTAAGTCATAGTCATAATTCTGTAGGAAACCCAATATGTCGACTTTGTAAAATATCAATTAAACAAGTCGACTGTTTTACTCATAGCAACTTGGACCATTTTTTTCTTTCTATTTTGGCCAATCTAAACACCCGGTGGGGGGGGGGGGGGAGGTAAAAAAATCATGCAGGACCAAAACTCATGTAGTTTCACATGCGAAAAAAATGCCGTGAGGATGACGGCGCATTTAAATGACACTAGCGAAGACAAGCTAAAACAGACAGGATTATACTTCGTCAACTTTTTCTCTCCTTACGCCGCCGAATTTTTGTAATCGTAAAAATGGGAGCTATTGTAGTGATGACGCGCTGTCAAATTATCACTTTAAAGCTGTTAATTTTATCCACATAGAATCATTTCGATCCGTATACGCCAGTTGTTTCGTAAAAGACAACTGTATCTACTAGCTATGGAGCGCTGCATTTAATGTATACTTTTATGCATTTAGTCAACTTAAAACTATTGTCAAGAGGAATTCACGAAATTTCAAAAATGTTTTTAAAAAATCGAATGAAATATTTCGCGTAAGGGCAGACTAAAAATTTATAGAGGTTGAAGACCAATTACTTTAGATAACACACACAAAAAAAGATTTTTTTTTTGGAAGTTATGCATTTTTAAGATCCACTTGAAAAGGCTGTTGTGAAAATTTGCTATTCGAACACACCTGCTATGTTGTTATGACTCATTAGAAAGGTATGTCACTTTGTCCACGTTATAGTTTAAACATATCTATTGATAGTGCATGGATTGGGAAACAAGTTAATACAACTTATATTAATCCCTATCCACTTTGCGGGTGCGAGTTGTGCCTTGTAGCGGCATTAGCCTGCTCTTTTTCGAAATCTACAAGTGTGTCTTTTAAGTGCAAGAGATATTGCTCTCTCTTAACACGGGTTAGCCATTTATCGTTTCTCAGGACCATACTCGCAAATGGTGTCAAGATAGGGCCGAAAATTCATTCCCTGAAATTTTCTCCCCGAAACGGGGATCGAACCACGAACCTTTTAGTAATCCGATGCGCTAAGCCCTTCACCATGGCTCTCCTCTCCCAGTTAGACAGTATAACAATAACATACGGGTGACAAACATAGGTTACAAGAGCACACTTATTTGTTTACAGAATAGAATCCTGTACGGCTTATGATTGGACGATACAGGATTGGGATTACTTTTAATCGAAAGCTTATCCAATAAGGTTTAAAAAATGCAGAAAATCTTATTCACATTTTACAAAGTATAAAAAATATCTTCCATTTCCGCACGTAGGAGCCATTAAAAATATGCCCTTTTCATTAAGCGAAAAAAAAATAGACTGGCGATCTTTACCAACTGTATTTTAAGTCAATTTTTGGCGCATGACCATATATATTGTTTTGGTTGTAATGCAACACTGGCATTTCTAGTAACAGGAACTGCTACCCGTTTTTCCTTAGTTTGTGTAGTCTTCGAGAAAAAAAATACCGAACACCACTGGTACCCTATGGAAAATGCATTACGAATAATTGCGCTCTTGTAACCTATACACCTAGTCAAAACGGTTTATAAATAAACATACACTAGAATTAGAATAAAATAAAGTATTAAACTATGTGTTTGTTGGTTTGTGATAACAGTGTCTAAAGTATCTTTTGTTTCTCTTATTAAAATTTCACATTATCACATTACATAGTCATTAAAATGTTTCGGCACCCTATGTACCAAACTTACACTTATATTCTGATTCTAATGTTTGGTAATGTTATATAAACTGTTAACAAGGAGATATAAATCTTTTTTGTATTTATTTATTCATTTTATATTAGACTACAGAGTGTTGACGGACAGACAGAACCACCGACGGACTAGTGTTTACAATACAACGCGCCGACTTAGTCGGGCGTATAAAAACTATTCCATTATAAAGTATGATATCTGTCGTTACTCTTACATAGGTCTTGAAGTCATAATTATAAAACTGTTAAGTATTTCTCAAAACATTATAGTCTTATGAATTTAAATGTCCTTTTTGGAAATAAAGGGGTGAAAAAACTTATCGAACTA